GCAAAGGAAACAATATAGTAAAAAGGCAACTTGTGGAATGGAATAAAATATTTGCAAACCATATACCTGATGAGAGGTTAATATCCAGAATATACAGAGAACTCCTATAATTAAAATTTTTCAATTTAAAAGACAGGAAAAAACAAACAAACAAAAAACATAAAAAACAGGCATTTCCCCAAACATACACAAGTGACCAGCAACCATCTAAAATGATTCCAATATCACTACTCATTAGAAAAATATAAATCAAAACCACAATGAGGTATCACCTCACACCCATTAGGATAGCCATTATAAAAAAAAATTGTAAAACCACAATGTTGATGAGGATGTGGAGAAACTGAAACCCTGGTGCACTATTTACTGGTGGGAATGTAAAATGATGCAGCTGCTATAGAAAGCAATATGGACATTTGTCAAAAAATTAAAATAGAATTAACATACAATCCAGCAATCCTACTTCTAGGTATTTATCAAAAAGAGTCGAAAACAGAATCATAATGACCTATTTGCACAACCATGTTTACTGCAACATTATTTGCAACAGCTAAGAGGTGGAAGCAACCTAAATGTCATCAACAGGTCAATGGATAAAGAAAACATGGTATATATACAATGGAATATTATTCAGCCTTAACAAAGAAGGAAATCTTTTCACATGCTATATATAACATGGATGAATCTTGAGGATATCAAATGAAATAAGCCAATCACAAAAAGACAAAGCCTGAATGATGTGACTTATATGAGATATCTAAAATAGTCAAACTCAGGGCTGCCTGGGTGGCTCAGTTGGTTAAGTGTCTGACTTCAGCTCAGATCATGATCTCATGGTTTGTGAATTCCAGCCCCACATCAGGCCCTGTGCTGACAGCTCAGAGCCTAGAGCCTGCTTCAGATTCTGTGTCTCCCTCTCTCTTTCCGCCCCTCTTCCACTGGCACTCTGTGTCTTTCTCTCTCTCTCTCTCTCTCAAAAATAAACATTAAAAGGGGCACCTGGGTGGCTCAGTCTGTTAAGCGTCCTACTTCAGCTCAAGTCATGATCTCAGGGTTTGTGAGTTCGAGCCCCGCGTCGGGCTCTGTGCGAACAGCTCAGAGCCTGAAGCCTGTTCCGGATTCTGTCTCCCTTTCTCTCTGCCCCACCCCTGCTCACACTCTGTCTCTGTCTCTCTCAAAAATAAACATTAAAAAAAATTAAAAGTAAAAATTAAAAACTTTAAAAAAAAACTAAAAAAATAAAATAGTCAAACTCCTAGAAATAGAAAGTAGAATGGTGATTGTCAGGGACTTGGGGGAGGAGAAAAAGGAGAGTTGTTTAATGGATATAGAGTTTCAGCTTAGAAAGATGAAAAGGTCCTAGAGATCTGTTACACAACAATGTGCATAGAGTTAATACTACTGTATTGTAAAAGATGGCTAACATTTTGAGTGTATTTTTGACTGTAATAAAATGATGTTATCTCTATATATCTATATCCATATCCATATCTGTATCTATATCTATCCATCTAGAATGAGTTAACATAAGGGAACGAGGAAAACCTGAAACCCCTGGCAGAATATAAATAAGTGATATGAACCAGCAATTTAATTCCCCAAATGGTCAAAACATATATTGGAAATAATTTTTCTTACTTATAATCAATTAATATAAATTAAAACTATTTTAAAAAACAGAAATCCTGGATTAATCTTAGACATTATATTTCCTTTTCACCATTCTCCTCCATGTATAGTCACTGTGGATATATATATATATATGATTATAATTACATATATGTATATGAGATTATATATATACATATAATCATAATTTATATATGCAAAGTGAGTATATATAAATTATTATATTATTTTATTATATTATTATGGCACAATTCCTCCCAGCAATAAAAAGCAAAGGCTGTAACAATGACTGGTTCAAAGAATATCACCTTCACTTTCATTCATTTCAGTTTGATGAAGAAATGATGCTTTGTCACAGTCATTTACTACTGAGCTTTATATTTCCGGGAAATTAGTTCAGAAGCCAGCTGTGCCCCCACCTTTATCCCTTATCCTTCCCTCACCCCAACCACAACATCTTGTAAACATATCTAAGAATCCTCATGCTTGTTCGCTGGAGGAAATATTTTATCAGTGATGAACAGTCTTGTCACTTTTGTTCTGCTTAGTAATTCAGGATAACATAGCTTCAACCTGGGATCACTTTAGAGTGAAAAGCCAGATGTTTCCAAAAGGTTTAACCTTATGAGGCTTACTACCGCTTGTAAATATTAATACAGCATATCCTCAGTGAACATGGCCAGGGCAGAGGATGCTTTCATGAGAAAAACGGTGCTGAAAGCAAATTCAAAAATATTCTCAGAGAGGGATTACAGTGGCAAAACTGAGTGATTTAAGCATTAATCAGTTTGTGGGCATGTGTGTGACTCACTCAGCTCTCAATTGTGCTTTCTTATATCATCCCAGACTCTTCCTTCAAAGCAGTTATCGAGATTCATAATTATGAATCTATTTATGGGATCACTTTTTCAATGTCTGTCTTGTCCACTAGCTTCCTTGAAGGAAGGCATCATTCTTGTTTTGCTCAGCACAATGTTTTCATTACTTAGCTGGGTGCTGGGAACAAAGTAGGTTTTCAGTAAGTATTTATTGAACAAATAAAGATTCTGCAAACAGCAGGATTTGACAATAATTTCCTTTCCTTCCCAATTTCCAGTGCTGAGCTATTTGCTTCTCCCAAGCCAAAGGACTTCTCAGGCCTGTGGGCTTTAAGTATAATGATTGAGACTTTTTGTGAAGTCTCAGCAAAGAGAACTGCTATGGGTCTTTCTCCTCATGGGAAGGACGCATATCAGGAGAAGAGCATCACAGCCCAGAGATGAGAGAATCAGGAAGCAGGGAATCTTGGAAAGAATTTGATGCCTAGAGATCTAGAGTAGGGAGAGAGATTTGACATTGTCCTTACATGAGTATATGGGTCACTTGACTCAGAAAAGGTGAAGGGGGATCTGAATGGACTGAGTTTTCTTGCCTCAGAAATGTGAAGAGTACACAGAGCCCAGGGGTCAGGGGAGCTTCCTCAGAAGAGGTCGACAGTCGGTCTGCTTCTACAGAACTCAGGCCTCCTGCCAGCAGCAGGATGCTTGCTGCGTATGGTGTTCTAATAACCAGCTCTGAGCTCAGGTGAGGCAACAGAGAAAGTAACAACCCACTTAATGGGACAGAAGAACCAAGAGAGGAAAACAGAAGGAAAAAAAAAGGTTATGACCAGTGAAGATTTTCACATTCAACTTCACCAAAGCAGCCACACCACAGAGCAGGGTTTGGCAAACTTTTTTCATAAAGGGTCTGATAGAAAATATTTTAGATTTTGAGGGACATACACTCTCTGTCGCAACTACTCAAGTTGTAGTATCAAAGGAGGTTTCTAGACAAATCCTGTAGCCAGCTGAGGCTGCATGTTGCAGTTCTCTCTTGCCTATGAATTCCTCTGCCACACTTGCCTAGAAAAACTCCAGTTCCGAATGAACCCAGTTTTCTGCCTTTTCTTTTCCTGCACAACCACTGGTCTCATGATACATTCAAGGTTGCCAATATATGCTGGGCTTTGTTGCTGCCTAGAAACCTGTGTGTGTGTCCCTCCCCAGCTTCCTCTCCTGGTCTCTACAGTGAGCATTTCACTTTCCTCAGGCCCTTGTCATAAGGGCTTTCTTCTTACATACGGGAGCTGGTGTTGTTCGTTTTCTGCTACTGCTGTAACAAATTACCACAGAGGTAGTGACTTCACATGAACAGTATAAATGTATTCTCTTACAGTTCTGGAGGTCAGAAGTCTCAAATCAAGATACCGGCAGGGCTGTGTTCCTTTTGGAGACTGCAGGAGAGAATTTGTTTCCTTGCTTTTCAAAGCTTCTGAAGGCCTCCCTCCCGCCCCTCTTCTCACATCACTACCACCTTTGTTTCTGTGGTCACATCTCCTACTCTGACTTTGCTCCCACGGCCTTCCTCTTAATTACAGACGCTTGTGATTATATTGGGCCCACCTGGATAACCCAGGATAATATCCCCATATGAAAACATTTAACTTAATCACATCTGCAAAGTCCTTTTGGCCATACAAGGTAATATATTCACATGTTCCAGGGATTTGGACAGGGACACCTTTGGGAGATATTGTTCATACTGCCACATTGATTTCTTCCTGCTTCCAAGGCAGAATACAGGTACCAGGCAGGAGTTTCCCCAATATCCACCCCTACTCCTCTGGGGACACATTTATTCCAGCTCATCCTAACCTCTTCCTTCCCAGTTTCAGTGGAGATGTTCTTCCCAATAAAGACTGACCCCCCAATTTTTTCCTGTAACCCAAACATCTTTACTCTATTAATACATTTTATTTTAAATTCTTCCTTGTCTGATATTAAGATTGTTACCTCAACTTTCTTTTGGTTTATTTTTGCTAGTATAGCTCATTCCTTTAATATTAAACCTTTTATGTTATTATACTCTGGTAATGTTTAAATATACAGTGACTTCTACTGTGATATGACATACACATTGTTAAAATTACCACATTGTGATGGTAAAAATCTGTGATGGCAGTAAAAATCACAGGGCTTATGGGGTTCCTGGGTGGCTCAGTCGGTTAATGTCTGACTTTGGCTCAGGTCATGACCTCATCAATTTCAAGTTTGAGCCATACATTGGGCTCTGTGCTAACAGCTCAGAGCCTGGAGCCTGCTTCAGATTCTGCGTCTCCCTCTCTCTCTGCCCCTCCCCACTCACGCTCACGCTCTCAAAAATAAATAAACAGTAACAATTTTTTTTTTTTAAATCACAGGGCTTATGAGAAAAGTGGGTTTAGAGGAACAATACTCAAAAACATCATCAGTAGTATATTTTTTAAAAGATAGAAAAACATAGTAGCACAGTTTTATATGTTTTATTCAGTTAAGAAATACAAACATACTGCAAAAGATTTGACATTTTACCTTGAAAACACCTGAAGTTTGCTTGTGGCAGTAGCTCTCAGGAGGGTGGCAGTTCTTAGGACGCTGTGGAAGGAGGGCCATCTGGAAGCAGGTGTGGATGGGTGTGGCTTACAGCACCTGGGGTGAACCGAGGAGCTGATGGATGTTTGGAACACTTGCATCCCGTGTACTCCTACACAGCTTGGTCCACTAGGGTGTCCTTTTCAGTATCCATCCAGTGTTTCTTGCAGACAGAATCATACAAAAGTAAATGTAAATTTTCTATTATGCTCCAAATACCCCCTAATACATCAATCATGTTGGAATAAATTCCCAAGTTTTTAAAAAAGTTTATTTATTTTGAGAGAGAGAGTGTGTGTGTGCATAAGCAGGGGAGGGGCAGAGGGAGAAGATCCCAAGCAGGCTCTGCACCATCAGCACAGAACTTGGTGCAGGGCTTGAACTCACAAACTGTGAGATAGATCATGACCTGAGCTGAAATCAAGAGTCGGATGCTTAAACAACTGAGCCACTCAGGCACCCCAGACCCTATTTCTTTTTTTAATGATTTTTTTTTTTAATTTACAGAGGATCTGAAGTAGGCTCTGTGCTGACAGAAATGAGCCTGATGCGGGGCTTAAACTCAAACCGTGAGATCATGACCTGAGCCAAAGTTGGTTGTTTAACCGACTGAACCACCCAGGCGTCCCTTATTTCTACCATTTTACTTGGTGTTTTTTATGATGTATTTTTTTCCTCTCTCCCTGTCATTTGTTGAATTTATTTAATTCCTTTCTTTCCCTTTTCCTTTTTTTCCTTTACTGTTTTGGAAATCATTTTGTTTATATTATTTTTGTTGCCATCCTTAAACTCTGTTATTTTTTTTTTAATTTTTGAGTGTAGTTGACACATGTTACATTAGTTTCAGATTTACAACACAGTGATTCAACTTCTCTATACATTATGCCATGCCCACAAGTATAGATACCATCTATCACCATACAACACTATTACAATATCATTGACTATATACCCTATGTTGTGATTTCTATCCCCATGACTTATTCATTCCATAATCAGAAGTCTGTATCTTCCACTCCCCTTCACCAATTTTGCCCATCCTCCACCTCCCTGACTTCTGGAAACCGTCAGTTTTTTTCTCTGTACTTATAGGTCTGATGCTGCTTTTTTGTTTGGTTGGTTTGATTTTTATATTCCCACATATGAGTGAAAACATAAGGTATTTGTCTTCCTTAGTCTGACTTATTTCACATAGCATAATATCCTCTAGGTCCATCCATGTTGTCACAAATAGCAAGATCTCATTTTTTATGGCTGAGTAATATTCCATTGTGTGTGTTGGTCTATCAGTGGATACCGAAGTTGCTTCCATGCCATCCTTAAATTGTAAAGTGCATACTCTACTCCAGAATTATACCTATCACCCCCCCTGCATAAGTACCTTAGAACATTTCCACAAAGAAAACTTCTCCCATATTCCATGTTATTGTTGAAAACATAATTTCACCTTATTTTTGAATAAAACTTTTTAAAAATTTTTTTAGTCAATTATCAGATTGCATTTTACAAATATCTTTGTTCAATGATTATTCTTCTCACCATTTTTTTCCTGATTTCAATATACTTCTTACTGAAGTGAGTCCTTCAGCAATTGCTTGAGGATGTGCCTGCGGGCAATAAATTTCTTTATGAAAATATTCTTATTTAGCCCTTATTCTTGAGTGATCATTTAATCTTACATAGAGTTCTGGGTTTTCTTTCCTCCCTCAGCACTGGGAAGATGGTTTTTCTTTGTCCCTGGCATCTGCTGTTGATGAGAAATCTGCTGTCAGTCTGAATGTCATTTCTTTATAAATAATCTGTGCTTTCTCTTTGGTAGCTTTTAAGGTTTTCTCAATATCCATGATGGCTGAAATTTTATTACAAGTTGTCTAAGTATAGATTTCTTTGATTTATCCTGCTGAGGATTTGGCATATCATTTTTCTCTAAAGACCCACACCAGTTTTTAATATTGAAAAATTGTTCACCAATATTCCTTTAGAAATTCTCTCTCCCTTATCCTCTTTAGGCCCTCCTTGAATGTTGTTTAGATGTATATTAAAGCTACTCATTAGGTTCTAAATATCTTTTAATTTCTTTTTCATATTTTCCATCTCTTTATCCCTCTGTGCTACATTCTGAGTCATTTCTTCAGATGTTTCAGTTGGCTAATTCTCTAGCTATCTAGTCTTATGTTTAACCTATTTATTCAGATTTTTTTTTATTTCAATAAATGTTTTTATTCTAAATATTTATTTTGTCTACTTGTTCTTTATTCATAATGTCCCACACTAGTCTTAGATATTTTATTCCTTCCCTCATTCCTGTAAATTTTTAAACAAATTTAAAGTCTCTTCCAGAATGCTTTATTATCTGTGAGTTCTGTCATTTTTTGTGCTTTCTGACTCTCATGTTAGGGATTGTCTACCCTCACGCTGTTGCCTCATGTGCTTTGTTTTTTCAGCAGGAATGTTTCCCACAGGACATCCATCACAAGGAAATCTATGCAGCGTTAGATTGAGGTTCTGATTTCTCTGAAATTACTCTTTTCCCAGAATGACTCAGAACAGGTGGCCTGCTTCATGCTCATTCAGAGATATGGCAACCCCTTCCTGATGTCCAACTTCGTACAGAGGGTCCTGTTTCAGTTTAGATCCTTGACTTTAGACCTTACATAAAAAGTTAGTGTCCACAAGATTCCCTATTCCTCTCTTGGATCTTTGTTTACAATGTAGCTCAGCACAATGGTTTAGGATTTTCTCTTCATTTCTGATCCCTAAAAATTTACTTTTATATTTTAAATATTGACTATATGTTTAAAGTAAACTAATTCCAAATTATCTGGCATAGATAGATAGACGATAGTTAACAGAGGACAGAGGTTTTCCTGTGTCTGCTTTGTTTTCCATATTGACCAGAAGTCTTTCCAAATACTATTTATCTGTACCTGACTCCCAAGTCTCTATTTGCAACCCAGCTCTGATGATTGAGCTCTAGAACCATATCCCACCATCTAAAAATCTCCAATGGATATAGCATAATCACATAAACCCATCATGTCCAAAATTACTTTTTTATATTACCCAGATCCCAACTCTGCAACTCTTCTCTATATTTCCCTATCTTAATAAATGGTGCCATTGTTGGCCGAGATGACCATCTAAAACCCTGAAAGTCACCTTTGACTTCTCTTTCTACCTATCCCTCTCACTGCAGGGTTAATTCCATTGAGGATGACCAATCATCCTACTTTTCCCAGGATTGAGGAGTTCTAGCGTTTTGAACTCTCACTGCTAAAACCAGGAAGGTCTCAGGCAAGTCAGAACCTTAATTTCACTCCTAAGAATTTCTCAAAATCCTCTACTTCCCTTCATTCACACTGCTTTAATTCAGACAACCACAGACACAAGGACTCCTTTGATGGCTTTTCCTCTAGTCTCCCTACCTTAATCTTACCTTTCCCCACACATTCTCCTTATTATCGATAAAGTGTTCTTTCAAGGAAAAAAAAATGTGGCTAGTCTCAAATTAAGTCATTCACTAGCTTCCATTGTTTCAAGGATAATTTCTAACTTTTTAACATAACCCACTACAAATCCCTCGGGAATGTGGCTTCTGCCTGCCTCTCTAGTCCCATTTCCTGATCTCCTTCCCTTTTCCATACACGTGTTCCAGTCATATTGAATGACACATAATTCATCAAATATGCCACTGGATTGGGTGCTTCTGAGCCTTCCAAAGGAAAAGGAGGCTTTCCAGGAAAGTATCTGAACTGCTTTCCTTGGTCCCTTTACCTGGTGACCACCTAATTTTCATCCAAATTTACCTCCAAAATCACCTGATCCCCCTTCCTGACCACAGTCAGAGTAAAATGTCACCTTTGAACACATAATAAATTCTTGGTGCTTGAAGCTATCAAAGTGTTTATCTCATCATGTTGTGTTTGTTTATGTACTTATTTCTCTATCAGACAATGGGATTGTTGAAGGAAGAGGGTATGATTTCTTCTCTGTAACTCTATGGCTTAGGATTTACCATTCTATGTTCCATGAATAAACAAGGTACTGGGAATTTGAGGGTTGAGAAATAGTCCTGGCTCTACTCTTAATTTCTCTGGCCTCAGTTTCCTGCCTTCACTTTGGTTCCAGCTCATCTGTCATTGGCTCTAGGAAACCTTCCCTGATCCCTCAATGCAAGGGTAGGGGCTGCCCCAATGGAATTTCATCACACCCAATCTTACCCCTGTCTGTCCATTGTAAATGCCATCAGTGTAGGATTCACTCTGTCTTGTTCATCTCTGTAGCTCCAGCATCTAGCGTAGGGGATCATCAATAAATAACTGTTGGCCTAATAAACTACCACATGGAAGAAGTTGATTTTTAAGATAACTTCAGGCTCTAACCTGTCAAGCAGAGATAAAGCTCTGCATGTCTATAGTGACCAAGAGGCATTCGTGATGGTTGCTGCCTTTGGAAACCACTCTGAATGTCACAGTGTCAGCCATTGCTGAGGCAAATGCACATTCCATGAGATTTTGGCCAAAAGTAGGGATATCATGAAGCAGAAACTTGGATAAAGAGAAACGGGGTTGTCTAACAATGAAGATAAAAAGAGAAGGGACCCTAATGTTCCTGAGTATGGGAAGTGATGCATACTCACTAAAAGACCTGTTTGCAGCCCAAGCAGGCCATGTGGTTTTCTAACATCTAAGTGCTGGAAGGTTTTCTATCTCCTAAATCTGTGGAAAGCCAAGGTTATACTAGTTTCACTTTATCCACTCCACCTAACTCTGCCATAAGTAACAGGCAAGCCTACAGGTTAGCCCTCATGGGAGAGCAAGTGCTTTGTGTACTCAGCCCTTGCTCCTGCTACTGCTGATCTGCAGAACCATAACCATCTCATTCCACTGGCATCCCCACCACCAGCCTGAACCAAACCTCCCTGGATGTCTAGACTTCAGTCTCTTTACTCACTTCTCACTTTGCAAAAAAACCCCATAGCTTGTGCCTCTCTAGTCTACTTTCCCTCTGACAGCACACTCTTCAATAATGGCAAATAGAATTTATTTTATAATCACTGGAAGCACTATCTTGTTTTTTCTATTCCTGTATCAATTTTATTATTCCCCAGAGAGTCACTTTCTGTGTCCTCCAATTACCACCAGAGCTTCTTACCCTTTATCC